TGAAGGGTCAAAGAAAAATAGGAAAACCCTCAATGAAATGGATTGACACAGTTGTAGTAACAATGAGCTCAAAGATAAAATAATTATGAGGATGGTACAGGATTGGGCAGTGTTTCCTTCTGGTGTACAGAGGGTCGCCATGAGTTGGAACCTACTCAATGGCTCCTAACAATGCCAACAAAGAACTGCATTTTGCAGATATATTGTCCACCTTCGAGGACTTGAAAGGTACATTGTTTAGTAGCTATCTGAAGCCTTCCAGTGACAAAAAATGTTTTCTTATAGAGAAAAACAATTTGTTTATTGTGATGGAGTATTGTGATGGAGGGGATCTCATGAAAAGGATCAGTAGACAACGGGGAGTGTTATTCAGTGAAGATCAGGTAAAAAACACTTTTTAATTTACTTAATTTATAAGTGAGCAGAGGTTATAAACTTATAGCACTGAAGTCATAGAGTATGTTTATATGAAGCATGATTTTTGGTAGAGAAATCTCAACCATAAAACAGTGGATTCATATTCTTAGTAGATTTAGTGAAGAACATTTGCAACTTTACTTAAACCGTATCCCTTTTTGAGAGTGTAATTTCCTTGAGATAATATATCATGTTTTAAAATCTCATGTTGGATGTCTCTGTGATAAATCTTCACGCTTAAAAAAAGAATCAGATTGTGATGTTTATGGTTACACTCTTTTCCTTTTTCCATTTGGTCCTCTGTTTGAAAATACGAGTAGCTGTACTCCTCTGTTGGGAGGAGAGAAGCTTGCCCTTTTTTTTTTTTTTTCCTCCAATAAATTTAAAAGGAGTGAACTGTGAGGAAAGCAAAAAATGAGACAGGGGGAATGTATGGTGTAAGAAAGAAATACAAATGTAAGCCGTTTTGCTAATTGTTTTATAACACAGCTAACTAGTACAGAGAAGGTCCTGCACTAAATAACACAATAAAGAGTCAAAGATGAAGGTGTTGCCTTGGCAAGGCTGATGATTGCAGCCCCTGGTGTTTGGACTTGAAGCTGCGGTCCTTGGTTTTGACTGGATCACTAGGTGTGTGGGCACAGTCCACGCTTTAACCAGATTTGAACTGAATGACCAGTTGGCCCAGGTATAAGCAGATGAAGTGTTTAGTTTTACATCACATAACTAGCGAAGTTTTCCTCATGATTCAGTGTCCTGTGGGGTTGTACTTCCTGTGAAATTTCTACTTGATGTAGGCCTGGTGTCCTTTGCGATGCGTTTCTCCAGCACTTGCGTAGCGCACGCCATTAAGTCCTGTTGCATTTCTGGGACATGTGGCATTTTTGATCCTGCCCGTCTCATGGCACATGGCTCCCTGAAGTACTGAGGGCCCTCTGCTGCGGCACCGGGGAGCTGGGCTAGAGCAGCTCAAGCCCCACAAGTGGTACCGTCCTAGCGAAGTTGCCCTAGAGCTCTTTGTAATGCTTGTGTAGTTTACACTACACAGGGTGTGGCTACAGGGTGGTCTTCGTTTCTGTTTTCTCTCAAGCACATCTTTGTTCTAATTCTTAACCTGTTTGAAGCCGTCTTGGATGTGTGCCCGTAGACGAGGCAGGTATAAGCATAGAGAGAAATCTGATTCTGAGCCTGTATGGTTGAGCCATCACCTCAAGCAATGCAAAGGAATGATCGACCATCTTTAGACATTTATTTCTTTATTCTACTTTAGCTTTTGAGAAGCTCATGCCCATATATAATTTCTTCTTAGGGTTAAAGGTAAACCTTTTGAATATCTGACTGATTAAAACATCAATATTTCTATATATAACCTCTATAAATAACCTCTATAAATTTAATAAAGCATTCTTTCTATCTCATTTACATTATACATTAAATTCCATGTTTATTGAAACCCTCCTTGCTTCCAGTCTACCCTACTATACAGACTTCTTATGGGTCGGAACTGACTTGATGGTACTACAAACAAAAAGTGCATTACTTTATTATATTGATAAAAAACGTTTTCTAGGATAAAATTTTAGATACTTCCCTTTGTTCAGAAAACACTACTACTGAACTGAAATTTCTAGATGAAAAAATCTTTTTCTTTCTGCATAATTTGATAAGAAGAAGAAGGAAAGAAAAGTGGAATTTTAGAATCATTTTCCCAAAAAACCCTGTTGCTTTCATGCCAATTCCAAGTCATAACGATTTTATGGGACACAGTAAACTGTCCCGTAGAGTTTCCCAGACTTTAATCTTTCTGGAAGCAGATCTTTCTCTTGGGAAGATGATCAGTTCGAACCACCTACCTTTTGGTTCACAGCCAAGTGCCACCATTGCTTATTGGGAATAGTTTAAATAAATTGTTATAGTCATAGA